CCGAATTTTCTATGTGTGACACGTGAATTCTTTTAGAAGGACGGTTGGTGTTTGAGCTTGTCCAAACAGTTTGTGTTTGTTAAAGACACAATTTTTCGGCTGTTGTGTCTCTTGGACGCAACCTTTCAACATCTATAAATTGGCCTCCATACCCCGATTTTCTTTCACTTCAAAATCAATTCTGATTTTATTCTTCTTCCGAAATTATTCTTTCGTCCCTACATTATTCATATTTTGCAATACATCCTCGAAAATAATTTTCGTGCATTTTAGTCCTTGAATTTTTTAGAGATCAAAACGTGAGTAGGTTCTCCGGGTTTTATAATTTGTAGTGCTACTATTACAAGTCGAGATCGTTGTATCTTGGAAGACGAGTACCGGAATACCGTCGCACCAGTGCGGGGCATTATCATCTTAAGGAGAAAGAGTCAAACCCTTGCCTCGACCATTAACATCTTATATCATTCACTTTTTCACGACGTTATTCTATCCAAGTCAATTCACGGTGATATAATTACTTGCCAACTTCCAATAATTTTAAGACGATAATGGCAAGTAATACCCTATTTGTCGTACCCCCTAATAATGCTCATGATGAGAGATCGAAAATATTCACAGGAGTGGATTTTAAAAGATGGCAATACAAAATGTTGTTTTATCTCACGACTCTAAATTTGACAAAATTCTTGAGTGAAGATGTTCCAATTGTTGAGGATGATGAAATAGATTTTCAAAAACGAGTAGCATTCGATGTATGAAATCATAGTAATTTCTTGTGTAGGAACTAAATCCTCAGTTGCCTTGACAACAAACTATACAACCGTATACTGTTCGGTCAAGATAACTAAATTACTGTGGGAATCATTAGAAAAGAAGTACAAAACGGAATACGCCGGATTGAAGAAATTCGTTGTAGGCAAATTCCTGGACTTCAAAATGGTAGATTCTAAAACAGTAATGAATCAAGTCCAAAAACTACAAATCATCTTGCACAATATACATACAGAAGGTATGAAGCTCAGTGAGTCATTTCAGATTGTTGTGATTATCGAAAAATTACCGCCAATGTTGAAAGATTGCAAGAACTACTTGAAACATAAAAGTGAGGAAATTGGACTTGAAGATCTGATTGTACGATTAAGAATTGAG